TATTGCTGATTGTGCCTAAAGACCCCGTCACCATCGTAACTGGAACATGACTGCATGCTGATTAGAACAGGTTTTTATTCCTGTCTTTGCTCACCTCCTAGTACAAATCTTACCAATTCAACTTCCAAAACTTACCCCCCACCTGTTGGCTTCTCTGCACATCTGCTGTGGCCAGAGCATTTTAATCTGCTGTCCTGGGTTCACCTGCACAAAGGCCTGATCTTCCGCTCCCGTGTTTGTGCGTCCACAGTCTCTTCTGCCCACGGCAGCCACACTGTGTTTAAGAACGTGCCTGAGCCCTGAACGTGGTTTCCTGGCCCCTCTCTGACCACAGTTCGTAGCCCCCGGGCTCCCCGCCTCCCAGTGTTTCCATTTATCACTTAACGATTCATCGGTTGTTACATCTAATGGGTCACATCTCCACCTAGTAGAATGAGAACCCCTGCAAACAGGGAGCTTTCCTTCTGTCGGCGATGTCCCCCCTCCAGGACGGGACCAGGCACACAGCAGAACCTTAGGAGATGTTGCTTGAATACATGTATAAATTAAGTGGGTGACTGTGGAGGAGAAAAAAGATCCAGGTTCCCCCTGGATCACAGCATGTTATCCCTCACGCTTTCTGGGGCGCCGTTCTACTCATTCATCAGCAGATACGCTCCGGGCCCACTGATGTCCCAGCGGGAATGCAGGAAGCTCCCGAAACTCTTGGGCGCGGGGCTGGCAGAGGCAAGGCCTGGGTGGCTCAGTCTGTTAAACATGGGACTCTTGGTTTCGGCTCAAGTCATGATCTCAGGGTTGTGGGATCGAGCCCCACATCGGGCTCTGCGCTCAGCAGGGAGTCTGCTTGAGGTTCTGTCTCTACCTCTCCCCCCACCCCCGCTCACCTCTGTTCGAGTGTGAACACTCTCCATCTCTCTCTCAAATAAATCTTTAAAAAAAACTCCACCAGGGCGCCTGGGTGGCTCAGTTGGTTAAGCGACTGCCTTTGGCTCAGGTCATGATCCTGGAGTCCCAGGATCGAGTCCCACATTGGACTTCCTGCTCAGCGGGGAGTCTGCTTCTCCCTCTGACCCTCTTCCCTCTCGTGCTTTCTATCTCTCATTCTCTCTCTCAAATAAATAAATAAAATCTTTAAAAAAAAATAAAAAAATAAAAAAAACTCCACCAAAGCCATCAGCAATACGGTCCTAAGTGAATGTAATGGAAGAACTCTTAAGTGTTGATTTTCAAACCACAAAACACTTTCACTAGGATGAAGTGCTGTCTCGTTACACCCACCACACCTCAAATTCCATTCATACTGACTTTTTCAGTCTCCCTGGGAATGTAGGAAAAAAATGGGAAAATGAAAGTTTTTTTTTAATAAATGAGTCTAGTCCACTGGGCAGGTTTAAGGATGTTTTATTACTGAATCAGTATGTACAAACTCTAACATGAAAATAATGAGTCACAGAATATCAGACTATTTACAATACTTCGTTTTTACAAAATTTTTTTTACAAGATTACTTCTAATGTGACAGACACACACAAAAATCACTTTTTTATTACATACATAAATAAATATTGACTTGAAATGACCAGAAGAGATGTGATCTCTATAGGCTATTGGGATGAGAAGGTAGCTGTTCTGTTATCTGCATACTACAGTATAATTAAGGAAAGAAAGAATAATTACATACAGACCTCTGTTAATTACTCTGTAAATTGTGTAACTTGCTAAAATACTCAGTAGAGGTAAGAAACGGAGTCTGGCCATGCACAACCATAGGTAACAGTCACCATCTTTATGCATTTATTATTTTAAATGAATTATAAGAACATGCAACAAATATTCAGCCTTTGTGTGCTGGTTACAATGTGAGGGTTTGTGTAACAAGATTGAGAGCTATTTGCAATCCTGGGAATGAGTGAATGTAATTAGGAAATCCATGGCCCAAGGCGTAAGAAAGGGCATTAAATAAATAAGTCATTATCACACGTGATGCTGACCGATAGGAAGGAGAAAAATATCTGTGCTCGGATGACAGAGACACAGGTCAGAATTCAGTCTTCCCATCAGGTGTTTGAGTGACACAATGAAAGACACAATTCAGGGCTTTGCAGTCCAAGTTCCCGGCTGTTGCTCGGCTCCTGCAGTTTCCCGGGTCCCTCAGACGAGGCAGATTCTCCTGTGTTTAGTAAAGATCACTCCCTCTCTGGTGCACGGATTCTCAACCAGGGGAGGCTTACTTCCCCCAGGTGTGAGTGGGCAATGTGTGGAGGACTGTGGGCTGTCACAACTTGGGGGCACTGGCGTGTGGTGGGTGAGGCCAGGGCCGCCGCTGGGCTCCCTATGGTGCGCGGCTGGGGCACCCCTGCCAGCCACACAGACGTGGACAAAGCCCGCTCTGCGTGATTACTCAGAGGTTCGCTCAGGTTCCTAGCATGCAGACGTACCTTTACACTTGAACTTTGGGCTCAACTGGGAAAAGTATATATCACTGAATATATATTTTCTCCTATGAGAGACAATGCGTCTCCTATGAGGGACAATTTTAATAAGACATATTAGAGACTTAGCCACTAAAACAATGTTTAAAGAAAAAAACCCACAGATTGTATCCCTTTATTAGGGCACTCAAATTTTTTAAATTAAAAAAAGTAATTATATCTTGGCCGATTTACATATTATTGAAGGTCATTGAAATTCATAAAAGTCCTGTTTCCTTAATCATCTAATTAACAGCATTTTTCTTCCAATGATGTGAATAAAATTTAAGTTTTGTTATTGCAGAATGAGATGCTCACAGGACTAGCTTTCGATTTTGTAAGGAAGGTGTAAGCTTCAGAACCTTCATCCAAACTAAAAATGTATTTGCTCATTGTCTATTGCCCAGACAAAAGACACATAACTAAACCTTATAAAATCAAACTTCCGTAATAATTTAATATTTCGTATCTATGTGTACACTCCTGCATTTTGAACTATACAACAGTACAAAAATTTGCTGGCACAAATACTGGATTTGTTTGTGACAAATTCAGGGTAAAGATAAACTTGTAGCCAATATTAGACGTCTTCATTTGTGAAAATTTGAGAATGACATTCAGATGCAGCTCATGACACTGGTATAAATCCTAGTTTCCGTGGAGATACCTGTGGTGTTGGGTCAAGCTTGGGGCAGTTGGAAACGAGGGGTGCTTCCGGTCCTCTCCGTGAGAAACCAGGGGACTTCGGACCACATGGGGCTGAGTCCGTCCAGACCGCGTCAGGAGCCGCGGACAAGCATTTGGAAGCCCATGCACCTTCACGCCGGTCTTTCCCACGAGGGTCACTTGTACGAAGCTACAAAACACTGCCCGCATCATCATTGTAACTCTTTGCTACCCAGGAGACAGTTTTTACTGTTTCCACATATCCATCCGTACAGACCGCGTTTCCTAAAGATACGCATCCATCTGATAATAAAAATACTCTGTCTCCATTTTGTGGCACGTTTGCCTTCAGACACTCGTGAAGTGAAGGCGTTCGAGCTGTCTCTGCATCTGCACGCTTCCAGAAACCCACAACACGGCAGGTACCCAGTGCCACCATCGTGACCCAAGAAAATGGTCCCAGACGTTTCCCCGATTGAGTTAGCTGCACAATGAGAGGAGGAAGCCGTTCCTTTAAGATGTTGAAATGCTGATAAATTGCTCTTTCCTCACAGAATAAACACCGACGGGAAAAATACATGACCCTTCCCTTTACAAGAACCGGATCTTTCTGCACCACTGGTGAGCCGTGAAGAGAATTTCCGCAGTGAGTCACACTCAAGGTGTGTGTGTGCGTGCGTGCGCACATACGTACATAGACACACAAACGTAGATGCCTATTCCAAACCACATCTGTGGCTATTCCCTCAAGAAGAACTTGGATGAAACTGAATGTTTCTGGGCTGAAGGCTGCCCCAGTGCTTGGCAGCACCATGGATTGATGATGGGTTCTGACCCGAGTCCATGCTAGGAAGGGTCGTTTGGAGCCAAGGAGTCCTACAGAATAGATTTGAAAGAATAAAGGCAAGCATATAGCTGTCCTCTATCCGTCAAAGCCTCTTGTCCAACGTTACCGAGAATATTCTAGCATTCAGATAGCTTACTTTAAGAAAAGGCAAATCTTAGTGATTGGAAAATATTCAACAGTTGGGATTCTCACTTTAAGCAAGAGGCTCTGTAAATTTTGAGATACATGAAGTGGTAGAACGAAGTGTACCAACAGCTCTTTTCTGCATGAAGGGAAAAAGGAAAATATAAATAAGAAAACGTGTCGGGAAGGTCTCTCATTTTGTAGGATGAAGCATGAAAACGTATCCCCAGAAAAGCATTTTCATTTCTCCGAGGCAGACTGTGGATAGCAGCGGATTCGCTGAATGCTCCCTGCTTTGGGAGCCTTTCGTAAAGCACAGCTCACACACGCGATGCTCGTTTGCTTTCGTGTGAACGGGGCTCAGGGGCTGCAGGTGTGGACAATCATAGATGGAACTTAATTGCTATATATTTGAGGTTAAGAATAAATCACACATTATATAAATCATCCTATGAAAGATTTGAATACATAGGGCTTACAAACTGCATCACCTTATTTGATTTTGCAAATCAAAGCAATTATTTAAAATGTTTTATTGATATACGTTATGCTTAGTATGTGTATGCACTGCGTATTTGTTACACTGATTTGTTCTGAGAATTTGCCGCTCCGAATCCAGGGAGATCCCATCTGTGCAATTGTTCAGTAGAGGTTCATTCGTGGATATTCTGACTTCGGGCTCGATGGGCCTCCATTCTGGGAAGTGGGTGTCCACCCCCACCAGCTGTGAGTCACTCCTTTCCAGCTGCATTGAGATGGGCAGAGGGACCCAGAGCACAAGGTTACACGGGAGAGGAAGGTCACGCAGGGCACCTGCTGGCTTCGTAGCAGCACGTCTGCACCGTGAAGCTCAACCAGCGTGCTCGTTCTTCGATTCTCAGACGTCGAGCTGTTCAGTATCTTTCTGGAGAAGGCTTGTAATGATGAGGATGCCGAGGTTTAAGATGGGGTCCTGAGGGGGGGGGACAGGACATGGGGTATCAGTCATGTTGCCCTAGGGGAAGCCAGGGACTGGTGGTAAAAGCATCAGACCCACAGAGCGCTCCCTCCTACCTCCACGTCTTTCCTGCTCTGAACCCCCCTCCCCTCTTTTCCCTCCTTAAGTCCATAAAATCCCAGGAGGACTAGGGCAAGCTCCTTTCCTGGGGCATACAGTTCGAGAAGCAAGCCAAGGCCTTCCTCTCTCCTGGGAACGTAAACACTTCAGTACACATACGAAACCCAGTTTCAAAAGAGGAGCATCAGGAAAGCATTGACCCAACCCCGACGAAGGTAGGGGCCGCTGCACTCTCCCATCCCGAGCGCTGTCTAAATTCTAGGCATGAAAACTGATTGAGGCAAATGTGCTTCTACAATTGTAAAGGTAAAACCAGGATTACTTCTCCATTTTCTTATCAACACACAAACCTTTAGGCACTGCTTTATACGTGTAAGCTGGAAAAAGATGAAGCACCTAATTTAAAAATCAGCAAGAGCCTGACTATTTAGAAACAGTGGGTGACATTTAAAAAAAAAAACAAAAAAAACCTAGTTGACTTAGCAGTAAATCCAGTAGATTGATTTGGCTCATGTTATGAAGCAAATTTATATAGTGTATTACAGCAAAATGTGTGTGATAAAATAATCCTTAGCAAACTATTTCCTATATCGTCATATTTGAAAATCTTAAATAATTTCAGACTGATAGGAAGTTACAGATTTTTTTCCCCCTCGTAGGTATTTATGGTGTAAAAGACGCGGGGAAAGCATGGTACCAACGATGGGAAGGAGAGCGAGGCCGGCAGGGGGCATTTAAGCGGCCCCCCGCGCACTCATGCTGACGCGGCTGGAATACAATCCGGTCCGCAGATATGCGCGGGGAGGACGAATTTCAGACCCAGAGAACTTGGGGCACAGGGATCGGTGAGAAACTTAAGTGTTTCACGCGGACTGCTGCCTGTGTGCCCCACACTCACTGTCCGCTGAGGGCAGCATGAGGTCGGGCGTCCAGAAGGTTTTGATGGTGGCCGGCCCTTCGCCTCCCGCGGTCAGCACCTGCACTTCCAGTCGGTACAGCGTGGACGGCCTCAGGTTGGGCACCGTGAGGACGTAATGGTCCTGGGGGAGCCACACAAAAGGAGATGCGCGTCAGTGGCCTTTCAAAAAGAACAGGCACAGGGGGCACGCGTCCTCTGAACGGCTTCTCCCCGGTGGAGAAGAGCAGGTGTGACTGCACGCGGAGAGCGGCAGGGGTGCGTGCGCGGTAGGCGGGAGCGCGCGGAGAGCGGCAGGTGTGCGTGTGTGCGGCAGGCGGGAGCGCGCAGAGAGTGGCATCGGTGCGTGCGCGCGGCAGGTGGAAGCGCGCGGAGAGCGGCAGGTGTGTGTGTGTGCGGCAGGCGGGAGCGCGCAGAGAGCGGCAGGGGTGTGTGCGCGGCAGGCGGGAGCGCGCGGAGAGCGGCAGCTGTGCGTGCGCGCGGCAGGTGGGAGCGCATGGAGAGCAGCAGGTGTGCGTGTGTGCGGCAGGCGGGAGCGCGCGGAGAGTGGTAGCGGTGCGTGCGCGCGGCAGGCGGGAGCGCGTGGAGAGCGGCAGGGGTGCGCGTGTGCAGCAGGGGGGAGCGTGCGGAGCGCGGCAGGTGTGCGTGTGTGCGGCAGGCAGGAGCACGCGGAGAGTGGCAGGGGTGTGTGCGCGGCAGGCGCGAGCGCGCGGAGAGCGGCTGGGGTGAGCGTGTGGAGACCTTCAGGGGTGCGTGCGCGGCAGGCACGAGCATGTGGAGAGGGAAGGGGTGCGTGCACGGCAGGCGGGAGCGCGCAGAGAGCGGCAGGGGTGCGTGTGCGGCAGAGGGGAGCATGGGAGAGCAGCAGGGGTGAGCCAGAGAGCGACAGGGCTGCGTGCACGGCAAGCGTGAGCACACGGAGAGTGGCAGGGGTGCGTGCACAGGAGGCAAGAGCACGTGGAGAGCGGCAGGGGTGCGTGCACCGCAGGGAGGAGTGCACGGAGAGCAGTAGGGGTGCGTGTGCAGCGGGGGGAGCATGGGAGAGCAGCAGGGGTGAGAGGGGAGTGACCGGGCTGCATGCACGGCAAGCGTGAGCGCACGGAGAGCGGCAGGGGTGAGCGGAGAGCGGCAGGGGTGAGCGCAGGAGGGCAGCAGAAGCAGTGGCTGCCAGTACTCCGCGGGAGCCCCCTGCCGCGTTCTCTCCCCCTCCGCACCCCGTCTGGGCAGGCCCAGACACTTGGCAGAGTAAGACTGTGCCGAGGTGCCAGTTCTCAGGCTCACCCTTGGGATTTCATTTTTTACTCCCTAACCTAGGACTTTCCCATGGCTTAAAGTTTTCATCTGCACATCTTGTGATGTGAATTCTTGATAATCCCGATTTCAGTGAACGAGCCAACTGTTTCCCTTAAAACACAGTATCTGTCAATGCCCATAACTGAAAATGTTTATTTTTATGCCAACACATTCTTCTCAAAATTCAATAAAACCTAATACATTCATAGAATAACTACTTTCTAATTCCAAGGAATTTTTCCTTCCGGACTTAAGGTTTTTTTCTTTCTTTCTCTCTTGCTTTCTTTTTAGAGCCAGGGTTGGATATCCTAAGGGCATTTTTAGAGAGGGTAAAAGCCCACACATGGGTTTGTTTTTTTTTTTTCCAAGCAAAGGATTTAAGTGGCCTGGAAGACAGGCCAACTCATTATGGGCTCTAGCCAAATTTGAATGGGGAAAAGGGAGAGAAACAACAAGCTTCTTTTAGCTATTTTTCCCCCAATTTAACACTTCAAACAGGGCACGTCCACTTGGACCAGAGGGACACGGGGTTAACAAACAAACTGTGAAATCGCTTGCATGCAAGAAAGGACAGGGGCTGCTGGAGAATCAGGGTTTATCGAGCTGACCGTGTACCCTGCTCAGAGCAGTGCTTGTGATGGGTCATCAATCCCTGCAAACTCGTACATGCAGAAGGAGAAACTGCCCCAGGAAGGCTCAGTAGTTAGCACGCAGCCTGGCGGGAGGGCCCCCCTCTGGCGGCAGGCGGCCGTGCACAAGGCAGACAGCCGCGGGCACAGAGGAGCTGAGCGGGCACCTACCGAAGGCAGAATCTGGGAGCGAGAGATGATGCTGTTGGGTAAACTGTTCTGTCTGCTCTCGGTGGTGACCTCAGCCCAGGTCACTTGAAAGCCCGTCATGGGCTGGTAGAGGTTGGCCTTGGCCATCTTCCAGGAGAAGTGGGCCGTGATGTTCACATCTTGGACGACGAACGAGGCAGAGAGGTTCTCGGGCTTGGCGAGCACTTTGACCGGCATGTGACCTGGAGCAAGGCGGACAGAAGCCCCTGCTGAGGCTGCTGGACAAGGAGTGGAAATGGGGCCTGTCTGCACACATCGTGGGTCCTCTGGGCGGCCACTGGGGGGTAGTGGGGGGAGGCACAGGCAGGCTGAGCTCCGTCTCCACACACGGCTCCCGGAAACCACCTCTTTGCCCTACGGGGACGGTCAGTGAGCAGTGAGCCAGAGCCCCTCTTGTCCCTGCAACTTGTTGCTGGGTGCTTTGGGGATTCTTTTCAGGACCCTGCTTTGGGGGTGGAAGACGGAGAGGGAATTCTGCAACGTGGCAAGACCCAGCGGCTGCTCCAAGAGCAGACATGACTGCCACGCCAAGGGCAGACAGTGAAGTGATCGGCCGTCACGCTCAGTCACTCGGAGGAGCTCAGGGGGCCACGCCAAGTCCTGGGTAGTCGTCCCGCTGCCCAACAGAGGCCTCGGCCAGGAGGGGGATGGGTGCGGACATGGGGTCTGCGGCACTGTTGTGCAAAGTGCATGAAGGTAGCTCGCATGGCAAAGGGCCGGGATAAAAATGAAATGAGGTGCAGAGAGTGTGCCAAAGCACGAGCGGTGTATAAACCTTTGCTTCGTTTCCCAGGGGGTAACGCTGTGAGCAGAGGACCTGCTTCCAAAGCAGTAACGCCTACAGCCGCACGCACATCACCACCCCAACTGCACCATCGGACTGCAGTTTAGAAGGAGGGCTACTTTAAGCTTCTCCGGCCTCGCGAAGTCCAGTTTGGACACGTTTTCAACGTGTCGCCAACACCCTAGACGTGCACTTGGAAGTTGGGGTGAACGTACCTGCCTCGCCCGGGCAGCTAACGTGCTTGTAGCTTTTCCCCTTCAGGGCCGAGCACGGAGGCGTCGTAAAGAAAACGGTCTCTGCCTTCAGGCGGCCCGCGGGCCGGGCCGGCTGGACGGTCACCTTGTATTTGCAGGAAAACGATAGATCTTGAAGAATTATATAATTGTCCTAGAGCAAGAGAAAGAGAATAAGCTAGCAGTAAGTCTCATTAGGGATAAAAAAAAAAAAAAATTGGCAGGACATGAAATCCTCGTGCCACAAGGGTATTTTCCTATATATTCAGTGTGTGCAATATGGCTTTTATAAAAACCACAAAGGAGACACGGTGCATGTTGTGAGCAATGACCATCATGAGCCTCCCTCTCCCCCTGCGCTTCCGGATGCCGGCCGCACAGGTGCTACCCAACTGTAAGCACAAATCTGTTTTTAAAACACAAGAAAAAAGGGAACTCGGGCTTCTCTGAGACACGGGCTTAGCAGCCCCTGTGTAAGTTTCCCTTTGGAAAAATGACAATGCTCGGCAATATATTCTTTCCCCTTCTTGGAGGGCTGTTCTTGCTTCGTGCCACACCGGTGTGGTCACACACCGCGGGCGGAAGGAAGAAGAGGCTGAGAGCAGAACCGCGTGCTAACATGGAAACATGAATTTGGGGCTGTCCTAAGTGTGCAACTCTGTTTCCTTTACATCTGCCTGCTCTGCTTCTCCAGTCTGGCCGGTGCGTGTCAGAGCCTGACGCCCTCGTGTAAAGGGTGCAGAAGGGACCTCTGTCCGGGGCGGTCTGGGTGCAGGATGGGGTCCCCGCCAGACGGCAGCGTGCGTGAGGTGGGGAGCACAGGCCGAGGGGTGCGGTACAAGCTCAGGCTCCGCCCATTCTGCCAGTCACTGGAGTCGGCAGTGGGAGATGGGGGGGGCGGGGGGATGCGCATGGTGGGGGAGGGGACGCACACCGCGGGAGGTACCCGGGCTGGGGGGTGCGCACCGGGCTGGAGGGGAAATGCGCGTGGAGGATGCGCACCCGGGAGCCACTGGCCCTCTCCCCAGAGGTCACAGGCAGGCAGACAGAACCAGGGCACCGTGCACACCAGAGAGTGAGCAGGGAGCCTCGCAGGCCTGCTGTGTCCCCTTGGGTGACTGAAATGCTTCTCTGCAGGGGGGAATGTACGCTTTACACGGCAACACACTGCAAGCCCACGTGAGCCACCAAGGACACCTCTTGGCAGCTCTTTCAAGAATGCTTTCATGTGGCGTGGAACAAAGACATCTGTAGCAAGAGGTGAGTTAGCTGATGCTCCATCCTAACTTCAAAATAAGTGGATCTAAAAGCTGTTTACAAATGCAAATAGGCTAGGTCTAAGCCCTTAGCAGAGTGGTTTTTGATTCTTATTTCTGCCGGACACATTATACAGGTTCAGCTTCTTCTTACCTTCAGAGTTTGCAGAGATGAGAAGCCAAGGGCTGGCTGGGCCCCTGAAAATAAGGCTGATTTCCTACCATTGCAAGGCATGCCTAAGTAAAACCACTAAAAGCCTCACCCCTGCCCACAAAAAATTTAATAAACCCTGCTTCTGTTCATTTCTTTCTCTGATTTTCAAGTAGGTTTCCCTTTTTAAAAATGCTTCTTTTTCTTTCTTTTTCTTTACTGAAGGCCCCCAACTTTGGAGGCAGCTTAGGGAAAAATAAAAGGAACAGCGTTGGCGAGCATGCATTGGGACAAGTCAAAGCCAGTAAAAAACTATTTCTGCAGACCCACTGACTTGTTTTATCTTACTATCTTAAAGTTAAGTGATCACATAGGATTCTAAAAATGCTGTACTTCTTGCTTTAGGAAATATTCAAAAGAACAATGTTCTCCTTACAGATCACAGATCAACATATTAGACAGCTGGGGCCTTGCCTTTGGGTGTTTTAAAGTGTGCTGCTATATTATAGACATGTCACTGGCATCACCGCCGTGGACAGGTCACCACCGTCTTAACCATTCTTTGTTGCCACCACTCTGTAATTCACTCATTCAGCCTATTTGGAAGAACGCGTGGAGTAGGACTGCCAGAGTTCCTATCCCCCAGGAGTTAATGTTCTTTCAGAATTAACAGGAAAGTGTCGGTGCCGTGAGTCGGGTAAGTGAGTCGTAGCATGCACTGCACGAGGAGCTGCTAGTCAGGGACATGGCAAAGCAAAGGCACTAAAGGATCGCCAGGGGTGTATAGAAGTCGGCAGAGGAAACATACGTCGTGGCGCCAAGATTCCGAAAATAATGCAAACCTGTCGTCCAGTTAAGATGAGACACACAGCAACTGGGAAGTATTTCTGACCTGGGAGTTGCCTAAGAAGCACGTCTTTCATCTCTGCGTTCTGTGAGCTGCGTCGTGCAGACAAGGGACCGAGCTCCCAGGGAAGGTTGTGAGCAGAGGAAGGAATGAGTGAGCAGAAGGAGCATTCTGCTTTCCCAGGTAATGTTGTTACTACTCAGCAGCCAGCGCGGGAGGACGTGAGCTCTGGGTGGGTCGTGCACCTGGCCCACCTTCCCGTGTGTCTTAGGCGCGGGCCCAGTGGAGCCCGGGAGCAGCGAGACGCGGGCGTTGTGAGGGCCGCTGCTCACCTGGGTGATGCTGGACGAGGTCTCAGCGCCGCTGCTTCTGTTGTGGGCACAGACCTCCGGGAGCCACCGCACGTGGTATCGGCTGACGCTGGGATCTGAAAGGTCAGAGAGAGCACAGGCTGGGGCCACAATGCACCTGGGCCGCTGCTCTGGGGGCGGGAGGGGGCGCACTGCAGTTCCACGGGTGACAGGAAAGGACGCAGGCCGGGCTGCAGGACTCTGGGCATCGTCAGGAGGACATTCTAGGAGAGAACCGGTACGGTGCGAGAAAGTGCAGGAAAGTCACGGTAGAACGCCCGCAACGAGGTGTTGAGGGGAACCTCGTTCCTGGTTCTGGGCCGAGCGCGCACCGACAGGAGAGGGTGGCCCTTGGCCAAGGAGTGTCCGTTCCTGCAACGGGGAGTCATCACCGCAAGTGTGAGTCCTACAGTTTGCGGCGAAAGCTGAGAGAGCGTGCAACCCATGCAAAATCGACAGCCTGTCCTCAGGCCGGGATGCACTCCCTGGTGCGGGGGAGCGTTCCTGCCGCACGAGGCCCGGAGCAGCCCCTGCCCTGGCGCCGAGGCCGCGTGTGTGATCCCCCTGAACCCTGACTTGCTGGGGAGCTCAGGCCAGAACGCTGACCCTGCAAGCCTGTCCTTCCCGGGCCGGGCAGCATATTCTCTGCACAGCGCTGGACTCTGGGCCATCCCTCAGATAAACGATGAGGAGCACCTCGCCAAGTGTGGGAAGGGGGGTCTGGCCAGTGTCAGGTTTATTCACCGACCCGCACGTCCAAGGGTGTGAAAGGGCGCCACTCTGCCACCAACATCTCATCCCCCGTGTTCCCACCAAGTGCTGGATGGAGCTTTGCTGACGGGAAGACGCTTTGATGCCATGGGTGGTTCTGGCGGGAACTTGCTTTGAGCACTTTGGGATGAGAAAAGAAGTTTGAATCCGAGAGGATGAGCAGTTATCAAGCAGGCCCCCTCGGTGTTTACTTAAAAGGGGAACCCCTCCCTGGAGGCTTTAAGATTTACACAGCAGGCATCGGGAAAGAAATGTACGTTATACGCAAGTATGAGGCCACTGAATGAATCCATCTGCTTGCATTCAAGTGGTGCTCTTCCGGGCATATAACAAAGTAACCACGCAGAGACAGCTGTTCCCCGGGATCTTAAAAACTAACAGGGCTAAAGAAACAACAAACAATGTACATAAGCAGGGTCTGCGGTAGGCTAGAAGGTAATTTGGCTACAGATTAATACAGAACGTAAGGGGGCAGGTGTATTGCCAAAGGTTACAATTGTGCAACAGTGGCTGGCTCTGAAGATCTTTCTTTTTTTTTTTTTAATATTTTTATTTATTTATTTGAGAAAGAGCACAAGCGGGGGTGGGGAGGTAGAAGTAGAGGGAGAGGGAGAAGCGGACTCCCCATTGAGCGGGGCTCCATCCCAGGACCCTGAGATCATGGCCTGAGCCACAGGCAGACGCTTGACCAACTGAGCCCCCAGTTGTCTCCAGGCAACCCCAGGAGAACTAACTTTCAAGTGAAGACGGGGATGACGCCTGGAGGTTGGCGTGGGCAGTGTAGATGGCTGTGGGCAGACCTGGCGGTGGTGTGGACAGAGTAGATGGCCATGGGCAGACCTGGTGGTGGCATGGACAGAGTAGATGGCCGTGGGCAGTGTAGATGGCCATGGGCAGTGTAAATGGCCGTGGGCAGGTCTGGCGGTTGGCGTGGGCAGTGTAGATGGCTGTGGGCAGTGTAGATGGCCGTGAGCAGATCTGGCAGTGGCATGGGCAGTGTAGATGACCATGGGCAGGCCTGGTGGTGGCGTGGGCGGTGTAGATGGCCATGGGCAGGGCTGGTGGTGGCATGGGCAGTGTAGATG